GCAACTAGGAGAATGGGTGAATGACAGAGAAACAGGAAGCCCAAAGRTAGAGGGATTCTCTTACCTTGTTACCTACAAGCTTCTTTCTCATGAATTCTCTTGCTTCAAACATATACGGGATATCGTACAATGGYCGCATCCTTTTTCCATCTTTGACAGGAATTATTTCCTTAAAAACAACACACACACTCTTTGAGTTTTAGATAAAGCTATCTTCAGAGTGCAATTAAACTGCTTCCATGAAATTCATTATAAATCTTATTCTATAGTACCATCAAAACTGAATAATTTTTCCATCAGGGGTTAAAGTTAATTGCTGACATGTAAATATAACTTTACTCTAAATTCATAAAACATAAAAGATACACACTTCATCTTCCTTTGCTTGCAATCTTGGTGGTCTTAAACTTGAGAGATGGATCTTCATGTCTTTGCCATTAGGATGTCTAACAACCATTGCATCTGCATTCACTATTTCTACTACCTACATGTACAAAAACATGACAAAATTATAGTAAAAATCAACATGTTATCATCTCTATTATGCAGCCTTTCTTTCCACATTGACATGACATTAGATGCAACTTATATACACAACATTTTAATAAAAAATGGCCTTACTTTTCCTGTGAATTCTCTATCTTTGATGTCGATGTTAGTTTTACTTGGTGAGTAGTCCTTCCAAATTCTCAGTCTCTTTTCTTTGGCAAACTTTTCTGCTGCCCTTAGTTTGTCATGTCCTTTGGTAAGAACTGCCATGCTCCAATCTACACATCTAGCAAAKCCTTCTCTCAATAACAGCTCTGATATGTTACCAGCAGGGTGGATAATTGTACCAATAAAGTTTTGGTTTGATACACCTGAAAAGGATACCATATGACAATTGATGTCACTAATACAACTTACAGTACAATACATGTATATCATTGACCAAATGGATGGAAAAAGAAGGATGCTTAAATTAATTAATTAATACAATTATGGGTGTAAAGATTAAAGGATGAATTACAACAATAATGGATGAATAAATGAATGGATGGTTGGATTAATAAATAGATTGATTACATGTACATGACATCATGAAGAAATTGCTATTTTTCTGACTTACTTTCTAGCAGTACTTTAATTTCTCTTTGTAAAAGTCTACTTTCTGTAAAGAATTTGGCCTCATCATAATATGGTTCTGAGACTTCTTTATCACCTTCTCTTCTGAGCATTGGACACTGAACATAAAACAAAACAGGCTTTCATTCTGCTGCTTTAGTATTATAAACAGAAAAGGTTGTTTTTGAGGACTGACCTTTACTCCTGATAACATTAATGTCAGATGATGGAAGGTTGGTAGCAAGAACACACGAACAGTGCAGCCATCCCGAACATGTTCAATTATAGCAGGTATTTCCTTGCCCATATGGTCGTCCAGGAATTGTCTGGGATCATCTATTGTCCAGGTAATGTCTCGAACATGCTAAAACAGATATCATTCATAATATAATTTTTAATTTCATTTTCATACAAGTAGCACTTTAAACTACTGTACTAGTTTTACCTCATTTGCATCAGGTGCCCATTTCCCTTTGTTTTGAGTTTTAGCAAGCTCTTCTAAATCAATCAATTTAGTTTGTCCACTAGAGAATCAACATACAAATATGTTAAAGTCAATACTTTCTGGATGTAATGTCAATGTGTACATTTAATACATACTCTGATGACGGTCTRATCCCTCCTCTTCTTACTTCAACCAGCCCTTCTGCGACAATTGATTCTGTGATGTTTTCACACTCTTCTGAACCTTAATAAGCAAACAAGTTTAAACTTACACTGTATGAGAGCAATAATGATATCTCACAGCATGAGAGCTGTCTAGCCAATGAGATAAAGAAAGTTAATCAGTAAAATGAATATCTATAATCAAATGCCCYTTTYAGATGTTCAGSTAATTAGTGACTTKARAMAGTTCCCTRGGCCATYTTAAAAAGTRCATAACCATGCCTTACATCAAAGCAAGACAGTGGTTGAGCTTGCAATGATAGATACCATACGGTGAAATCTTGTCCTGGTAAAAAAGGTATCGCTGTAGTTAAGCTCAACYGAAGTTATACTCCAAAGCAAAGACACAGTTACTKTTCAAGATGGTACAGGGAGGGACTGTTGCTATCAACTTACCTGGTTTAGGTAGATAAATACAGCCATACTCTCTTCCTGTGCCTGGTACTTGATATTCAATAGAAAAAAGCACTTCCTTGCCTATGAGCTTGGTCCTTAGATACTCACGAGCCTCCCATGCAAAGGGCTGGGGAATACATCGACATATATTTCAATTTATCCTCATATTCCATTGATTCATAATATGCACATTTACTCTCATGTAAGTGAGCAATTTTTTCTACTTCCATGTTTATAATCATATTTTTACAAATATGTTTTGGYGATTGTTGTTAGTATTTTACTGCCTTTGCTGATGTTTTAAGGCGTGTTTAAGTTATATTTGGTACGTTCATAATGGTAAACAAACATTAAAATTATTTGTTTATGGTTGCCAGCATGTTGTATCAACAACAGATGAATAAGTCTCTTTGTTATTTAAATGCAATACATATCTTTTGTTCCCAATCATCCAACTACTTATCAATATCGGAACAAAAAGGTTTATATTTGTAGCAAAATTGATTCAATTTTACGGGATTCAATTTAGGGGATGCGAAATAGACAAATTTTATCAAAGTACATTTCAATTAACGATCACGAGTTCGATATTGGAAACGCACGTGGGTGTTTTACATGTACTTAAAAACATATGATCAATTATTCTTTCGAAAGAAAAAATCAGAGAATTTTATAATAAAGGATTATGAGAACGTTAAGATCTAGGTTTTAAATCGTATTGCAACATTAAATGTTGTTACAAGCAATAATTAGAACTTTCAACAAAAAGGTCATTCGATCGATAGAATTAATATGTCATGATGAAACGTTCTAGAATGTTAATTTCAAAAGAAACATTCTAAATAAGTGTTAAACAGCTAAATATTCTCCCAATTTGTTCCAAAGACTGTGTATTTGGACTGTGTAGTGTTAGTCTAGTGTCTGTACGTTGCTTGATGTGATTGGTCGTTGGATTTCTCAGTTAACTTCAATAACTTATTATTGCACAAGAAATAGACAGCAAATCGAGAACGATTAAAAAGTCTATTAGCCATACAAGAATAACTTTTACTTTCGCTAATATCTTCTTACTTAGCTTTCAACGTTCGTTCACTTCCGTCTCACTATTGTAGCTACGTGGATAATTACCTCATCTCGTGTAGACTGGCTTCCTTCAACGTTTGGATTCGCCTTTCTTGCCAATTTTGGCGCATTTATGTTAGAAAGGCAAAGCTGTCTCTCWGGAGGAGGACCACCTCTTGGTTGCCCACGAACTATTACAGAATCTCCAGATAAAACCTTTGTGAAAAGAAATTATTWGAACTYGAATAAGCAGTAAGTTCACTTACGGGTAGACACCGGTGAATCAAATTTTTTAACTCAAATGAAATTTCAAAAATTTTCAATGAAGAAATGAGATTTACAAGTATGTCTTTACCTGTTTTACTATCCCTCGAATCATATTTGGAGCTGGCTTTTCCATTTTTTGTTGGGTAAAATAGTTACTACGGCAGAAATATCACGCAAAAAGGAAAGATAGTTGTTGGAGGGAAGCCGTATATGGAGGTGGCTGACGTCACGTCCTYTCTGCTTGACTTAGTCTTCTATCAAAACTCCAACCACAGGGATTCCAACCTTCATTGGATGTAATATTTTGAGGAAGCTATGCAACAATAAAAACAATAACACTAACAATCTAATAYCAAAATCAAATTTCTGAAGAGATTGTTAGATTTTATTCAATTTTGATGTAAAGTTTTATTATAAGAGAATTACTAAAAWTACCGGAAGTGGAAAAACCGGAAGMTTTTAAAAATCATCAACACAACACCGCTGACTTGCACATATAGACTTGTTGTCAAAAAATTTCACTGTTTTCATATTCAACGATGATTGAAAACTGCTCTAAAAGGGGCATTTTCTTTGTAAATAGTCATCTATTAGTGTTATCCTTGTATATTTTATGTAATATYTTAGTCAGTAGTGATGGAAAACAGCATTTTGAAGCGGATTTTTACAACGAAAGTGTGATTAGCCGGATAGCGTTTGGGAGTTGCAGGTAACTTATCTGACTTGTATATTTATGTTATTTAGTTACTTCCTTGTATAATACACAGGCCAAGGACGTTTATTAGATATATGTATATCCCCTTACAATGCCATTATTTCAACATTTGAGCTTGCTAGAGAAGCTAGAGAGTTATAGATTGCCGGCTTATCTACCGTCTCGTGACTCGACTCCCTCGGGTTTGTTTACATCTTCTGGCATAAAATTACTCAAAAGTACATCGACTTCCATCATCAGATCTATATTCAAGGGCTATTTTTATATTTAAAGCTTGGTAATTTATTTTGAAATTGTCATTTTTGTGTATTTGATATTGTCGTCGAAATATAATTCTACCTCGTGACGCGATGTGTGGCAMAGTCATTTCCGTTTTGAGAAAGTCCTAGATCTTGTTACCGGATATATTAGCAGCCCGACAGCTATCTGTCTGCTGCTCCAGTAACATTCTCAACTTTCTCATTTCCCATTTGCATTTATTTGTTCTTTTTTTCCTTTCTGTCATTTTATTATAAAAATGTTAATTCCCTCCGAAGCAATTTAATATATACAATGTATATTAAAAATTAARCAATTTGTTGTTATTTTAGCAATCAGAATAAACCACAACCCCTATGGCAGCATATAAGTAATGAAAAACCTGACCTATGGGTCTGGTTAGGCGATGGTTAGTAGTTTGCTTGCACTTGAACTGTCCATATTTGAACTTGAAGMAATGTCTAACATGTTTTAGGTTTTTGACTATTTTATTTTTTACATTATTAGCTGTATATGCTGATAATAATGTAGCTCCTTTTATATGGGCCCCAGCGCCATTACCAGTAGTYGCACAAAGGTACAAAAMTCAGAAGGAAAAACCAGAATACAAGGTAAAGTTTCTTTCTTTGTTGACCAATCAAACTTGTGATCTTGATTATTGAATCTTCCATTTGATATTTCAGTCATTTCTAAAAACTGGGATACCTGTGTTGGGTGTTTGGGATGATCACGATTATGGGATGGATCGAGGCGGAAAGGTATTCAATGACATTATAGTTGCATCTAAGCTGATATCATTCATTAATTTTATTAATAATTCATGAGAAAACAAAACAGAATAAATTTGACAAGTCATGTATCTTGAGAGCAGGTTCWTGAAATAGCAAATTTACATAACTAGATCACTTAATTATGTAAATATAAATTATTGTTGAATTACTGGCTGTGTTTTACCAATGAAAATAGTACCTGTACAGCTCAGCTGCTCATATTTGTCTTGTTTCTCAGCATTATGCAAATCGTCTGCAATCACAAGGCATCTTTCTTGACTTCCTTGATGACCCAAAAAATAGCTTACGGAGAGACAGAGAGGGAACTTATGCATCTTATCTTTTTGGTCAAGGAGAACAAACTGTCAAGGTATAGTAAWRTGATATCAAGAATAYTGAAAACTCCTACAACATATTCTAGGCAGAAAATATATGTGAATATTCAGTTTTTGAAGTGATTATCAAGTTGTCATTCCTTTTTTTCATTCCCAGATCATTCTATTAGACACACGGTCACACCTAATAAGAGGCGCTGGATGCGATATACTTGGTGMACAGCAGTGGGCGTGGTTAGAGCGTCAACTGAGTGACAAGGATGCACCTTCATTAACATTGATTGGTAGTGGYATYCAAGTTTTGTCAGACTTGCCTGTGATTGACAAATGGTTGGGATGCCCTGAGAGTTATGATAGACTSATGTGGATGTTGCAAAAAACACCAAGGGTAAGCAACAGGCAGMCCAGTCAACTTAAGAGATAGTTGAACTATCAGTTTATACCTTGGATTTCCTGTGTCTTGTCTTCATTTGCTAACTTATACCTTTTTCCAGGTTATGCTCCTAAGTGGGGATGTTCATTTTGGTGAATTCCAATGCCTTAATGCAACAAGCACAGGTCTGGTAACTTGCAAAATATACTGTAGACATTGAAGTTTTCGCTTATTTTTGTCTTTGTCTCCTGTTTACCCAGAAAATTAGTTAATGAGTTATTGTTTTCCATATTCCACAGGGTACCCATTGTATGAAGTTACATCAAGTGGAATGACTAGTGTTTGTGTATCTTTGACCTCAAAAAAATTCTGCAACTGGCTTTTGAAGTRAGTTTCTGTYRCAACTGTGGCTACTGTACTTTGAAGTGCTAAAACTCAAGTCAGTAGAAGGTCTTAGTAATGATGAATTCATAATTCTTTTGTTGATGTTTTCTAGTGATGTTGCTGTATCATCAGTACGCTTCAAAGATGTCATAACTGAACTGAATTATGGGATGATCAACATTGATTGGACCTATAAACCAGTAAGACATAGATAAYACAGGGACCCCAAACAGTGTGATAATGACCTACCAATATTGTTATTTTAGGCTAAAGTGTCTTTAGAAATAAGAGGAAAGAAAGGAGTGTACTTACAGCATGCTGTTTCATTAGATCAGCTTAGTAMGGTAAGACAGTCTTTAGGCAAGGACAGAGGGGAGTGCATGTAATCAGGAATCATTTAGAGTCCTGAAGGTTGTGGAGGGAAGTAGGGATGGATTTAGGGAAAGGGAAAAGCGGGAATTTCCCCCCACTCCTTTTTCACCTTTTTTTCACTTAAAGTYCAGCTACTCTATTGTTAAAAGTTCATGCTCTGAAAAATATTGTAGGTGTTTTTGAAATATATTTGGATCAGTAAATTTCCCTCAACCCACCTCTGAAAAATTTCTGGATCCGCCCTTAGGAAGGGAATAGGAGTTTTTGTTATTCTGCAAGCTCAAATACTTTTATTTCTCACAGCAAAGTGACTCACCTCTGTGTCCTAAGRCAGCAAGTCGACCTCCGTTCTTCCCTAAAACAATGTTTTGGTGTTCTGTGTATATATTAGCTGTTCTAGTTGTATTTATTCTTCTTAGGTAAGTAACAAAAATTTGAAATTTTCAAGACTTTCAATTGAATTGATTTTGAAGGCCTTGCTTTCCACAGTGTATTAATACATTTGTAACGTTATTGATATCTTTCAAAAATATTTTTTCTTTTCCTCTCTTTTTAGGGTCTCAATTTTTATCTCTAAATTTATACTCATACAAGTTCTAYTGCCAGCACTTGGKTTGCCTGTGCATAGCATGTCGCATGCCCAGGTTAAACCAATCAATGGCAAGGTGAAGAGTGAGTGACAAGCTGTCAGTCAATCTGATGGGAAATAGAATTGCACAGGAATCCCAGTACTAGAGTAATCTGTGGAGGACCTGTATTTATACAAACCCAGTAATGTAACAACATTTATTGGTTAATTTGAATCAATATTAATTAATTTTCTATCCATAATTGTAAGTTATTGACTAATTATTTATCAATATGTTGTGCTGATGGGTTTTTTTGCACTTTATTTACTGAATTTAATTATTTGTCAAAATGGTGGGTATTACATATATCTCATTAATTCTTATATTATTGTACGGAAAAATTTGATAATGTAAGTGATGAATCAACTCCAGAGGCCACCATTGACGACCCCATTGACTAGACGACACATGAGAAAAGTGAAGAGGGGGGAAAACAGGGTTTTTACAAGCAAAAATTCAAAAGAATAAAATGCAWACAACTGAAAATAAAGAAAGTCCATAATCTGGGAGAATTTATAAAAACGTTTAGAWGAAGACTAATGTCTTCCCTCCRCCATCACTTTTCTATAAATGGTCTGTCCCTWAACTAAATCATATGACAAATCCAGCCAACTTGGCAGGCTACTATAATAATTAATTCTAAATGATATCATTGATTATCAATACATATTAAATATTATTRTTGATAATTATTTATTAATGATTACAATTACTAAATTCTTTATTGCACATTATTTAGTAAGTTAGATATTTGCAGAGACATTCATACTAAAGAAGTTAGTTTGGAAAAATATGAGAAGTACTGGGATGATATGGGAAAAGACTTGGAGCAGGGTTTTGGATAGTAAGCTATTTTAAAACAAGACTGAATTAGATATTATAAAAAAAATTATGTACAGTTAACTCCTAAAAACTATATAGTTTTTGTGTTTTTAAATCGAAAATGAAAACATTTTATCGTACAAAAGATCTAGAAATCAAATATATAGTCAACTACAATATTGTAGAATGTAACACAACAATGTATTATAATGACATCAAAGCAAAATATAAAATGTACAATATATATCAAATTTAACGAGTTTTATAATATGTAATGTAGAGTAAAGGACTACGGTTAACCAGCATCCTATGAGAGCCATTATTTATGCTTGAAAATGATAAAGGGTAGGTTTACTAGAGTATTTTACAATAAAAAGAAATTGCACCCAAACAGTTATTGATTTACTACACTTATTGAATATCCATAATGAAACATACACATTCTACTGCCCACTGTACTAAGAACAATCGAACAATCAAGCATACATTTTTAAACTCAAAGAGCCCCTCTGTTGTGTACTTTCTMCACTGAATGAGAACCAGGAGCTTGCGGCAAAGCGTAATTTACAGAATTTGTCATTACTAATCCCGCCAAAAAAGCCGATCTCAAGCGTTTTATTAACTTTAAAGTCGTGAACAGTAATTACATATGATTACTAAGAGTGCATATTGGTCAACGCGCACGACGTCGGACCTAGTGATTTCAATCTTCCCATATACCCAAAACTTCGAATTTAACGCATGCGCAACAGAAGAAGACAACCTTGGTATAGTTTTCCCTCTCGATTCTAGTTACAAATAGTCATTGGCCTCAACCTCACGAGTGGTTGTTTCCTATAAAGTTATTTCATACAGTTTACTATCAGATCATAGAGAATCTTCGTTAAGCAATGATACGATCTCTGAATACCCTGTGCTGTTAACCATTACTATTCATTGCTGGGGCTTTAGGTCGGGTAGTTGCAGCCTCTAGTGCGGTCTATCTCTATAGAATAACTAGGTATTAGAGTTAGAGTGAGCGCTGTTTGCGAGATGAGATGGAGCAGGTGACGTGTTGTTCAACCTGGTAGAATTCTTATCAATGAACGTATTGTCACAACCCACCGTCGTTGTACCAGGAACAACTCTTCTTTTCCTACAACGACACAGCAAAATGTCTTTGAATCCTTTTCTGTAATTCTCGTTGAATATAACGTACAGGATTGGGTTTAACGCACTATTAGCRTGACCAAGAAATAACCCGAAGTACAGAAAAGATAATGGCAGTCCGCATGGATCCCCGTAGAACGTTAYRAACTGACTGATATARATAGGCAACCAACACACTGCAAATACTATTACCACCACAAGCAACATCCGCAAAACCTTCCTTTTTGATCTTTCAGCTTGCTGTTCATTCGCCGCGCTGCGCTGRCCGGGAACTTTGCGGATCCATAACTTGTAGATGATCACGGAGTACAAATTAGTCATGATTATTAGTGGAATGGCATAGAAGAAAAGGAAGAGAGCAACAGTGAAGTCTTGTGGTGCAGAGGTCTCACTTGGATTGGTTAGCTTCCAGTTTTCAACGCAGTACAGTGGCCCATCTTTCATCGGCTGGATTACATTCATTGCGTAAAGAAACGGCGCGCTAATAGCAAAAGCACTAATCCACACTACGGCCATCATTACGTACGCAATGGCAAACGTAATGTAACGACGTAGCGGGAAAACTACTGCAAAAAACCGATCTATTGATATAGCAGTCATGTTAAAAACTGTACACCCGACAGAGAGGGACTGGATAAAGGAGATCAATTTGCATAAAGCTACACCTAGATCCCCGGAAATCCAAGATTTTGAATTGCCAAGGAATGAGGCTGTCGTTGTAGGCATATTGCAGACCGTTAGAAGAAGATCAGCTACGGCCATGTTGATGATTAAGTAGTTGGTGACTGTATGCATGCGGCGGTTAAGGACCACAGTGCAAATCACCATCACATTTCCAGTAAATGATACCACTGTCATTACTATATAGAACGAACCAAGAACAACCAGTCCTGTTTGGCTTGGACGGTCACTAAATGCGCAGCTGCCACTACTTTGTGAAACGTTCAATGTGGAATTCGACGTGAAATTCATTGTGATAATCAATTCTATGTAAAACAAAATAAATAAACCAATAAAATGAAGCACTTCATTATTTATCCCTACAGGGTTRGAACATTGCAAAAACGCTACGAAAAACCATCAATGCAGAAAAAAAAACAGTGATTCCATTTAGAGTTCTCGATTCTGGTTTTATTTTCTTTCATATTTTTGATTTTTTCACTAATGCAGATTGATTTTCTATAAAGCCCGTCAAATAGAGTGTAAGTGTAATGCATCGAAAGGAGATAGAGAAACGCATAAATTTAGAGTAGAGTCAATTTCGTATGAGTGGGAAACGGACGGTACTGTACTGTGACCGTAATCGTACTGTAACCAAATTCTAGTGTCTCATTGCTTCACAAAAATTGTGCAGGCCAGGTCCTGTAACTGTGCGGTAACCGTGTGGTAATTTCTACCGTACATTTCCCATTCATACGAAATGAACCCTAATACAGTATATAAATAAGTGCTTATGACTGTAATGCCCTAATTCTGTCATGAAATCGTCCGATTTGCTTTTCTTTTCTTTTCACATGTTTTTACATGACATTTTGTTTAGGAGGATGCATGGATTCTCTTTACCTTCAGTTTCTTGTGTTCGGTAAACTTTTCTGCGTAGTTGACTTGTCGTTAGCTGTAACAAATGAATGAATAAGTACCACACAACACGGATTATAAAACCAAAGTAATAAATACAAATTAACACGTAAYGTCCGGTTTRCGTACGCGATGAGAATTGATTATCGCTCTGTCATGTTTCATTCACGAGGACCCAACWGAGTTTTGAACGAGAATCGGAACTATCCCATGCARTGTTATTAGCAGAACACATTAGGTGTAATATGGGAGGTCCATGTACAGTTGTTGCATAGTGATTYACTATTGTAGTTTACGTGTACAGTCGTTGCATAGCAAGTAACTATCTGTTTTCTCATTGAAAATGTATGAATGTTAAAGCGATTTCCTGATAACATTTCAGTAGTTCTTACGGTGAAATATTTCAATCAGATTGAGTGAGTACTTGACTTCACAGCGAACAAAAGCAATACTTGAGATCGAGTCTTTTTCCCGCGCCGACGATAAGTGTAAAGAACAAAAAGTGTGATATGCTCTCAAAGAGCAGTAAAGTGTATTTCACAGATTTATGAAACTGAACCAGTCTAAATCCGTGAAACAAAACTTGATAGTCAAGGGTTATTGTCTAGAAAAACAGACCAAAAACTATGCAATATCTTATAATATACTACATACAATAAAAATATAAAGATTATTATTAAAATGGTTATGTGACTTCACTCTTCGTGGTGTTAGTTTTCCTTTTTTGTTGAAATAGTAAATAGTAGCATGCAAATAGTACAGAATCAAAGCTAATCAAATAAATTAACCACCCAGAGATTCTTACAGTAATAGCTTTTAGAAGAGGACCAAGCAGAGTTATTTGTAACGATGAGCTTCATTTAACACAAATGAAAGTTTTCCATTTCCGATTAGAATAGTAATGACTACAAGGACCATCTTGCGCGCAAATGCGTTCCCTTAAAAGTATTATGAAAAAGCATATATATCGTAACGGATGTGGTTGTGTTTGCGAAAATGCACTTCTTTTGAAAAGTTAAGTACTTCAAAGTTTTTGCGGCTTATTGCAAATAACTTTAATACGATGATATCCTATTGAAGGAAACTCCTTGCGGAGCTTGAAAGAGATCTGTTTATGAATAGAATTTGTTCACTTGACTTGGCGGCTTACAGATCCATCTAAAAAAGGCTTAGGAAAAATGTCTACGCTTTTTGCAAATTTCTACGATCTTTACGGCGCGCACTGTGAATGAAAACGCCTAAAAAAGAGGTTCTATACAACATGTTAGACTAATAAGATCTACTGCGGCCTATATGAAATGAGCTGTACATGTCCTAAGGCTGTTATTTCTTAGGAACGGACGTCAGGAGATTTCCCCTGGGTACCATATATTTACAAAACAACAAGAAAACGAAATGATTACAACTATATAATTGAACGATGTTATTTAAACCTGCGCAACGTGAAAAAATATTGATTGAATACACAAATAAATACAAAACACATTGAAATAATATAAAATATATCGGCAAGTAAGAAAAATAAGGAATTAAAACAACACTCAATTTTGCCTGGCTATTTTCACGTTCTTTTTTAAAAATTCTCAAGTTGTAGCTGGATCTTCATTGAAATGCACGGAAGGAATTCCTTACCGTTGTCGCTGTTTCATTCTCATTATAATAAGATAAATTTCATTGCTTGAGCTCCCAGTTATCATGAATTGGACGCCATAAAAACTAAGTGAGCCTGAAGCCTGATCAGTTTAGAACGTTGGTTCATCGAACTTCAGTCTTTACTAGGGCTTAAACACACCTTGACAGCTTCTGAGGCGTGACAACATTATAAGTTAATAAGTTTACACTGCACAAATTATCTTTTTATCAGAACCATTAGAAACACCAAAACAGCTCGCTGCTATACTAAGTTAGTTTAGTCTCTTTTTATTGTGTTTATACTATCCTATATAGCATGCTAAACTTCAGTCACTAATGAACCTTTGCCGCTATCGCTGGGCTTTCCCATTAGTAAATCGCTTGCTAACTTAGTGATTTTTAAGTTCAAATACTCAGCATGATACCAATTCATCGTTATAATTAATCGTAATGAGTTTACACACAATCTTCACGCAGAGATATCAGAAATAGCTAATACGGCAATTTAGTTAATTGGGCCATACATATACATAACTTGATAAGTAAAAGATAGTCATTTTTGTCACGTAGTTCGTTTTGTCATCTGTTTTTCAGTTTGCTTGTAGAGGTATAGAATGACAACGCAAAATGAGTTATACGAATTATGAATATGAGACGGTATGACTTGTATTCAAAACTACATAACTCGCTCTGTAATGAAACATTGCTGAACACATGCCGACTACATTGCTTCAGATTTTTTCACATATTTCATTTAAACTTTTCTAAATAATTCCCATCCTCGTTTTATATTTTCTTGTATATTTCCTTATCACTTTATTTACGAATCTATATCTATTCTTCTGTTAGTTTTTGTGACAAAAGGCCTTATGGGGCCTCTCGTCACTATGTCATCGGTTGAGTGATCGAACCGTAACCATCCAGGCGTTCCTTGCTAGTTCTTGATATTTTGATAAGTTGAAAAGAAAAAAATCTCTAGAGAAAACAAAAACAAACAAAGTAGCAACAGAAAAGAAAAAGAAGAAAAGAAAAAGCAAAGAAGAAACAAGAAAAGAAAACAAGAAACGAAATAAAAAGAAACAAGAAGATAAGCAAAAAAGAGAAATTCCAGCAGCAGGACTCGAACTCACGACTTTCACTTCAGTAGAAGATGTAACCCCCCCTGACATACATAAGAAATAATGAAAATAAAAAACTAAAAMDRTGGKRCGATTCCCCCGAGACATTCTATGAAGCTGAGGCGGCGAATCGGCTTACGTTACGGTTAGAGATTTCGGCTCTTCCACGCTATCCCGAGTGAACATAAAACTTAGTCTTAACCAAAAGGCCAGGGAGTGAGGGGGTAGCCGCCCACTAGAGCATACCTTTAGCTACCCTCTTAGACCATCGTACTATGAGGACACTTAAGATATCTGATATCTAATGGGGGTAGTCTATTCGGTGAAGTTCTATGCTAATATATGACGTCACGAAAATCCTTAGGGAGTTGTGAGCCAATAAAAGCTCAGATCAGGAATTAGCAAGCGTTACAGGGTTTGCATAATCAGTCTTCAGTGGATTTATTATTTGATGGGGGTGGGGACGGGTGCCGAGTGCCGATTTGCGGCCGAATATCGTTCTCGATGTCATGTGACGGCTTTCACCGAGCTGTTCAATTGTCGTTATTGTTTTCCAAATCATCACAGGAAAAGGTGTACAGTTCTTATATCAGACGGACATCACCAGTATTCGGATGAACACCACGAAAAAAAAAATCTCTTGAAATTCTTAATGTGAGTAGTTAACAGACCAGGCAGATACTGCTATTTCCAAAGATTTGCCAGGATCGGCAATGGAACACAATTTAAGACCTCTGAACTTCGAACATTACACTCGAACGTTCCACATTTTCGTTTGGTTATGTAAAAGTTTACAAATGGATTAATATTGATTATCAAATCCATTATTAAATCTAAATATAGTGAATGTTAACAAGTGAAGAGGATGAATGACAATCCGTATAAAATTGATAAGAAAGAAAAACTTAGCAATCTTCGGGGTTTTATTGCAAAACTATAATCAGGCGAATAAGAGTAATTAATATGTTTTTTTAAATGATATGGCATTTTATCGAAGAAAACGTTCGAGAATTTATCATGAGTTTATAAGTCAACAGATCAGATGTCTTTGACTACAGCTAAATTAAAGCTCTATAAGAACTCCAGGCCGTGGATAAAAATTCCTTTCTGAATCTTTCAGACGCATATGTTTACGGTAGGCAGGGAAACAGGGCGCCCCGTGTCAGTCCCCCATGGGAGGAATGATCAACCATCACAATAGGTTCCTTGGCCCCTGGGAATCGCTACCTGGTGTGTATTTCTAGGCAACGTAATGTTTGATCGCCACTTGATGCATAGTTACACTGAAACCATGAAAACTTCTTTTGAACGGTGATAGAAAGAACATATCATAAGCTAATTAAGAAAATGTTGAATAAAGAAGATTAGGCTATTCCCAGAGCGAAATGCATTGTGGGTCTTTCAATCACCGTTCACCATTCGAAAGGAGTTCATGGTTTCAGAGTGACTATGCCAGGTCTGTGTTATGGTCAAGAACTTCCAAGGAAAGCCGCAATTTAATTTAGAATTGCCATTTTGTAACGCATTTAAACTCGAAGTTTCATAAACCTCTTAATGGCCTAAGTCACACTGCAGTCCTGGACTGCCTAGTTTTTAATCAATACTTGTCTCCATCGCTCCTTTTAGCTGAAGACTCTGAAGTTGCAAATGCCCAAAAAATTAGAAATGTGAGAATCGCCCTGATTTTCATTTAATTTATCGAGTCTATAACGTAAGTCGTCCGGTCGTGATATTAAGGTGTCCGCAATACAGAGACAAGAATTTAATGACTCAAGAATTAGTATTGTGTCTTGTTTTATGACTTTTATACATCATTCATTCGAGTCTATAACGTAAGTCGTCTGGTCGTGATATCAAGGTGTCCGCAATACAGAGTCATGAGTTTATTGACTTAAAAAGCTTGTTAGTATTGTGTCTTGTTTTATGCACACACTTAAAAAACTAAAGTCAATATTATTTTGACAACCATTGTATGCTTTGAAAACTTGATTTGTTTGCCTAAAAAGACCGCCGAATGTGTATTTTTCGTCGCACATGAACTAACATCTTAATTTCAGCGTCTAATTTGTTGAATAGCTTTGTCTCTGTGCAATAATTTCTTGGCTATTCTCAGTTGGTTTGTTTTCTCACTTGCTACCTTTTTTGAATAGTCGAGTCATGTCGTTGTGCGTGTCTTTTTTTGATTGTTTGTTTGTTTGTTTGTTTGTTTGTTGTCTTTCCTTTTTGGACTAAATTTCACTGGAAATCTCCTCTTCTTTACCTAGCCGAACCAGTAGTGAACAGACTTAATAAACATGTGTTCCAGTCCTGCGCCTGATCTTTTTAAAAATCCGGAGATGAAATTTGAGGTGCTTTTTGAAAAGATAATCAAAATTGATGTTTGTATAAAATCACAAGTTTTTGTATTGTCAAGCGTTCACGGTCTCTCAAAATACACAAGCTTTTCAGTTCCTCTGTCCTGAGACCAAATCGGATTTACAAATCCAAAAGATTGATTATTAGTTACCGCGGGAGTTTATTGACATCAGTGAAACGCTATAAAAGATACTATTATGGCTCCTTGCTGGTGATTTCATAGTAAGATAGAAGCTTAATTTGAATATAAGGTAATAATAAATGATATTCTATTGGTTATTGGTGTTATAGAGCTTGACGCTCACCTTTTAAACGATATCGCTGTTGCTGCTGTGCCTTCAGTGTACCATCGTGGAACCCTGAAAGATACAAATAGTCATTTATTAACAATTATCAAGTTATCTATTAACTGATTTGAACAAGTAGTTAACGAGATAATATTTATTTCGTTGCCATGGTAGTAATAAAGGAACTAAATTCATAAATGCTGTTTTACCATAAAATATGTTTATATCACCATCGTGAAGCCTTAAGGATTGTATATCTAAAAACGTTAACAAGATTATCTTCATGTTAATGTTGCCAAGGAACGAGGAAAGAATACGTTATAATAAAGCTGTATATATAATAAAGCTTTCCATTGGCAAACCAAATGTGGTGATAAACACTTGATCTCGACACGTTATTGTAACTACAGTGACACTTCATAAAGATACTCCATGGATTTTGATTTCCTGCTATGACAAGATCTCTTGCTAACACATGGATCTATATATATCGCTCATACACATTTTTAGTGGCCAATCGTTATATCAAGCAATATTGATATTTATAAGCTTCCAGTACACTAATTAACTCATTTGAGGCTTACTGACGTCATTGATACGTTATTAGCAGCACATTTTTCTTACTTCTAATTTGACTTAGACAGGCGGTAGACTCTCAACCTGTTCCGTGTCATTCCGCAGTCAGACTACTGGACTATACTGCTGAATAATGCATCTAGATGTCATTTGACTTTCCTGTTCAGATATGCATTTTTAACTACTTACGCATTTGCAATATTTCATACACAAATTTCATTATCAAATTTTTGACCAAGTTCTAAAGTGTCCATAACTACGTAAGAGCTCTTACTGTTCGTCAATTGTACATTGTAGCGCGAAAAACAAGATATAAAGAAAAATGTCCGAAGTAGAAGGCGGTAAAGACGTGATTAAAAGAGATTTAAACGGCCCTAGGTGTGACAAAAACTAAACCTTGTGTGCATATTATTTAATTAACATGCCCAAAAACTCTGAATGGGTTCTGATATAGTTCAGTGAGTAGGAACTGTACCATCTAACACTTCATAACCGCACTAATATCATGAAACATTGCCTGCATGACACGTCACTTTAAATGACTATTATGCCTACCGTAATATCGTCCCCCTTCCTGGTTATAGTGCGTTTCTCCAGTTCTTCTGTTACGCATTCACTAATCCTCGCTATAAATGCAATATTATTAATGTTAGTTACTGCCTAGGTGGTTCATATCGACCAGATATTGACATGGTGTCATGGCGACGGATACATAGTATTGTTGTCAACCAACTCTGAAGTAAAAAATTGACTTAAATTATGGACGTTTTAAACTAATCCGAAGTAAATAATGAAAAACGAGATAACGAGATCACACATGGCCTGACATCTGAAAGTATCTTATTGTCAATTTTCTATTTTTATTAAAAACGTTTGAGAATGTACTGCGCTACAGGGATTGTTGATCTAGAAAACACCCCTCAGCAACTCAAAACACAAAACGTTTAACAAATAGCAAGGTATAGATACATATCACGCAAGATTTTAATACACAGCACCAGTTAGTACAAAATAGCCTATTAGAGCGTTCAAATACCTGTACTCAGCGATCAAGTGTTCGAGAATGAATTGTTTCCTTTCAAAATACTTCTCTTTATATGAATAGCATTCCTAGTGTTCCATGTGATGAAATCGCTATCAAACGCTTAGCTATTTCACACTCAATAATCCCAACTGCAATGTTCAAGACAACGGATGTTCAGCTTAAGGTGCGAAGAATTCAATTAAAAGTTGAGAGTATCTAAATAGACTTAAGCACAGTAATCCTTTGCATTACCTTAAGTTGGTCATGGGATGCAATAAAACCTTCACAGATTAAACCTTTAGATCAACCGATAAAAAGTATTCAGACTGTACATCAGGAGCGACGTTTTGGAGCGCGCGATATTGAACCGCGTAGTTGAGCTTCTGACAATGTTTGCATTGCGCCAACATACGTCTGATTGTATATTCAAAGTGATGAGGTAAGAGCAATTAAAACACTGTGAGCAATCGAACAGACTCGTTTAATGATTTAAAACAATTTGTTTAGTAAAACATGCTAGCACAACCGTGTTCTGTACAAAGAAAAAATTAAAGGTGTAGTTTATTGAAAATAAAGCACGGGATGGGTAACGGGGCGAAATGACAATGCAACTGATAGATGGCCAAAACTGCCTGACAACTGACAAACTGTTTTGTACTGACAACTGACACTTCAGAATAAAGAATTAAAAAGAAAAAAAGATATTTTAAAATAGTATCTGACAATTTAATTTTTCGGTATTTAACACGTATGGATAAATTCTTGAAAACTCGTACGAGATAATAGAAATTTCTCCAAAATATCACTTATTGTCCGGGCATCCCGAAGAAAATTAGGAGTGAGGGGTGGAGATCGGACAGATGTGCACTTTCATTGCCAAAAACAGGTGTAATGCAGAAAATGACTGTTGGAAATAAATAATTTAAGCAGATAAATTCGAAATGAATTCAAACACTATTTCTACCCAGTGATAAGTACAGCAATTGCTCGCGTCACAACAATGTAGGATTATAATCATAATAATACAGGATTTCGATGGATTATCCCGTCAACCATTTTCACCTCATTAAAAATAATCATCAATCATGATAATTTTACTTGGTATCGATTCATGTAGAAATCGGAACGATTCGGCTCGAGTGTCGCTTTCGACAAATCGTAGACGACATAATTCCATTTCATTGCTCGCATCCTATAGACTCACTGGCAAAAATTGTTAGAAGTTCGGGGTGAGGTGAAACGGTAAAGATTTCTGTTACAGAGGCTTCGTGTCGTACTTAGGTATGTCGGTTCAGAATACAAATCGGTCATCGAATACGACAACATGTTATTTCAATACTAAAATATTCTTAGTTGTTCAGTGCAAAAATCGGTTATTTTCGGTATAAAATTAGTGTATGTTCAATGGACTAAAAGTTATAACATCCATAAAACAGTCACGAAAACCGACACGTGATAGTAAAATGCATCTCATTTTTGTATTTTTKCTCACGCACAATCGGCCGTGAGGGACTGGCACTAATGAACACTCGGTGACGAGCAGGCTAAAAATCTGATTGAAATGAATTGTTTTAAAGTTCGTGTTGTCACTGCTAATGATAGTTATGCCATCCATTATACCTCTAGTTCAATGTCCAAGGAAAAATGGCGCCCAGGACGAGAGGATGTAGAGTGTTTTATAGAATGGGATCCAACTGGAGTCTACATCGGTGAACTGAATGGCAAACCGATTGGATTCGTGTATATGATTAAACTTCATCCCACGTGTTGTAATTTTAGGTGTTTCTTCATTGAGAAGACGTACCGAGGAAATGGTTATGGAATAGAAATGTTTAAAATTGCCACAAAGGATCTTTCACCATCGCAAAATATCATCGCCTACTCTATGACAGACATGGTTCAAAAGTACAAGAATCGGTTTGGTTTTCAAGACTATTGGATTGCACCAGTTTTCAGTATTAATCTCTCATCAGCTTTAAAAAAGCTCAGCCAGTTTCAAACAAATTCTAATTCTCTCGTTGTCAAAACTTTCAAGGAAATCGACTTTAAGGCATTGCGTGACTATGATGCCGTGATGTTTGGATACCAGCGTGAGGCATTCTTGAATAGATTTCTCATCACGCTAGGTACTCACGCGAGAGTCGCGGTATCGAGTGACGGCACAATAGTGGGTTATGTTGTATCCAGGGCAACGTATGACACAAATGATGGATACAGGTTGGGGCCATTTTACGCCAACTCACTAGACATTGCCATTGCACTGCTGAAAGCTCTTCTCAAAGATATACCGACTCAAGAATCATCGTTAATCTTAGACGTTCCAACAAGTAGAAATCCCGATGCCAAGAGACTAGTAGAGATTCTCGATGGAGCACATCTATTTGATACAACGTTCATTGCCACAAAAGGAATTCCTAATGGGCATATTGAACATTGCTTTGCTTTGGTAGCACCATAGGATGAAACAACTAGTGTGGCACAGCGAAAAGAAGGAAAGTGAAAAGAAAAGGGAGGAAATCTCAAAGGGCGGAAATAAGGAAAGAAAATATGGGATAAAAGAGGATGGAAGATTGTAAAGGAGGAAGGGAGGACACACAAGAAAAATAAAGAATGTGACAGATGAAGGAGTGTAGATGACATGAGGGTACACGTTTATCTGGGTCAGTGACCGGCAGTGATATTGTAGTGTAGGGTACAGAAGTCATTCTTAAAATGACTAAATATCTTTTATTGTATTGATAAAATTATATATCATTTTTTAATGAATATATTTCAGTATTCATGATATGCTTTATGCATGCGTTTGTGTATATACATAAGCTTCTAATACAATCTATAAATCATTTTGACTGTTATTGTGTAAAGCATCTCTTAACTTTTTCATTCATATTTCTATAATTTAAAAACTTTTCTGATTGCATCTATGGCTGAATATGTAGATGCAGCCCCACCCACTGCCCCTATAGCAATAAGTTCAAATAGAATAGCTTTAGTGTGGAGTGGTATGTTTTTCTCTATTTTAAGGTAAAACCAGCACGGGAATACAAACGTTAGTAGAGTGACGGTAGATCCTCCAATCAGAGACAGAATTGGACCAAAGTTAGGAATAAGCTCAGCTATGCCGAGAATAAATATCATGAGACCAGTTCGTAGTAAACAACGCTTCCATCCAAATTCTGCGCAAGAAAAAAGATGAATAATAATCRGTTTATTATAATGGACTTCTCTACTTCTCAAAACGTCTCACCTTTCAAACTACTCTAAGGCTGAAACAATTCCCCTCTCGCCAGTAGTTCGTATAGGAAATCGCACGACCTTGAGTACAATTTGGAATTGATAGTCACGAGTAATGTTTTGAAAGTTCTCGTAATTGCACGAGTRCAATTTGAGAAGTTTCGAAACATTACGAGTGACTATTCCAAATAGTACGAGAGGTTGTGCGATTTTTTGTTTATAGTACATTTAGAGAAACAAAATTTTATAAGGAGTATATTCAACGCTGTAATTGTACTCCTMTCGACCAATCAGAATGTATTATTTTGTTGAATGTACTATAAACAGTAATTCACCCCTTACAAGTTATTCAAGTGCTCGTTACCAATCTTATCTTAGCTTTACCTTTTCCTTTCCACTCCAATGCCGAACCCCCCCTGTCCTCATCAAAAGGTACTCTCCCTTAACTCCAAGGCTCCTTTTCCTTCCTGACCTCCAAGTCTGAGCGACCCTTCCCCCTTCCCCTGGTCACACCCAACACCTTTTCTCTAAAGTGTCCCTTCTACTCCCATTTGATATCTTTCCCTTCCCAGTAAGCAGTACTAAATTATTACCTTTTGGTATTTTAAAATATTCTTCAAAATGCTGCGATACCGGATTCATCACGATCACAAAACTGAATAAAAGATGCATTGTAATCAAGCAAAGAACGATGTCTATAAGAACTGATATTGGCTTGGTGCTATCGTGAGTTATGGACAGAAGAATGTTGTCTTCAATGTCGGCTCCATATGCGAGATACCCTGTGTGAAAAAATTAACGTCTAATCAAATAGGGAGGGATTGAGTTTCGTAAATATATCGCCAATATGTCGGTTAATAATACAACAATAAACTGTACAAAATAATAACGTAAACAAATACTACAGATTAACTATTCAAAAATTACATTAAACGCATTACAGGCATGGCTTGTTAAAGCTAGAACTTACCTAATACAGAGACAGGTACATACATAGAGAGCACAACGATGTATGCAAATACAACAGACAACGGGAAACGTTCAGGATGCTTCATGTCTGTTTGAATAGTAGGAAATGTAGAGGCTCCTCCGAAAGAAAACAGAATCGTACCAAACGCTAGAGAAAAGAATCATATAATAATGTTTTAAAATGACTTATGAGGGAAACAGCAGTGCAGTTACAGTGCTTGATGATAGTAGGGCTCTATTCAGAAGTCTATGAGTTGCACTATAGAAGTTTCCAAAGAAAAGGTTACAGAACTAGTAAGCAAACATTTCAGGAAATTATGTGTCTGTTGTGCTTGTTTTAGGATGTAGACTAAGATGCACTTAAAGTCATCAGAGGGTAAGTGCACTCCACCTGCCCCTCTGGCAATCTTGTATCAGCCACACCCACTTCGCTTTCATCTACAACGTACTTACCTGAAAAAAACGACAAAAACGAGACTTCCTTCTGTTCAACTTTACTCAGATCACTTGGTATTTCAATTCCAATAGCAACACAAGTTAGTAAACAAGCAAGAGCAGTAGCACTACTTGCACCAATTGCTATTATCCAGAATTCCTTGGGAGTACCGAGCCACGAAAATGGCAGTAGTACAGCGGCGCATATCAATAGCCATATGCGCAGTGAGTTTTGTCCTTCTTTAAAAAAATGTACTTCGATATGTGATGTGATGAGTTTGTTGAGATTCTGTGACGCCAAAATAAGGAATACTATACACACACCTAAAACACAGGTTTGGTTAGTATATGACCAGTATTTAGTCCGTGTCAAGGTCCGTTCTTMCTCTCTTTTGGTCGGTAAAACGTTCTATATTCTAATAATATTAATATCAATCATTTATTGATAGTTTTTATAATTGAAAATTGAATGTCTTTCATGMTGAGAATTGTTTTTATAGTCGATCAGTATTCATCACAAATATGGCAGATAAAGCACGTGACTGTCACAACACTGTATGTCATGGATACATGATCGCTACTCAAGTATGACCCGATTTCTGTAAATATCAATACGAGTTACATGTATGTTCAAAATAAAACCTTTTCAATACTTTTCAAACTCATTTATCAAACTATATTAAAAACACCGACACAATGTTGCAGGATATCATATGATATTGTATTTTGCGCGCGTATATACATATATCAACTAAGCGTATAATATTAACTTATTGGATATTAAATCGGTTACCTAGAAGTGTGATGTTAATAGAGATATTGACTGCAATCGCTCCCCATTTTCCTACGGCTTTCCTRCCAATGGCCGGATAAGGCTCTCTCACATGTTGCTGGTACTCGGGATGACGGGATCGCAAAATGCTCCAACATCTTCCTAGAACAACCCCACAATATCCCGAAGCAAGGCATCCTAATACAAGCATCACAAACCCCATAGGTCCTGCAGAAACCATCGCAGAGGGTAGGGCAACTACACCACTGCCTGCCATCTCCCCGATGACAAATACTGATGCTGTAAAAACTGTCAGGCCGCTTAGTGCTGGTTCTTCTCCGCGATGGATCACTYTAGGCTCGTCGTACAAGCTGGAACTCGATCCACTGACACTTCTTTGTTCAWCATTATTAATGAAAGTTGGAGGCAAGAGCTCGTCATTTGGTTTACTTTTATCATGCATTTTGAACGATTTTGTCGTTTCGTAGGAATAATCGTTTGATCTGCGTCAGGGAATTTGTGTTTTCGAGCGCTTCACATTTTGTCTCTTGTTGCACAATACGGTGGTTCCTTATTGTACCCAACCATGATGACCTTTCACTTTTAGACACATATCATGTAACAGTACAGTCACGCGAAGGGATTCATCTCCTTGTCACATTACATATTCAAATTTCTGGCTTAACAAATCATTTATTTGAAATGGCTCTTCTACGTTCCCACAGATATGTCTTTGTTTCTGGCTTGCGACCATTTCGTGATTATTTCCACTTCCTTTACTTTACTTTCTTTCTTCCCTTTCACTTTCTAATCTTTCTAATCTAAAAATAATCCTATTAAAAATGCTYTAAGTGTTTTCTCACTTAGCTATTTTTAGAGCTCTTTTTTCCTATTTTCAGAGATACGTTTTACGATACCCTGCGAGCAGAGGAATTTTTCCACTATCTACGAAAGGAATTTTTCCACCATCTACGAAAGGAAAAACATTTTTTCCTTTCTTCGTAGAAGGAGGTGGAACAATCCTCTGTCCGCAGGGTAGTTTTACGAGTATTTTTGCCTCGCAAGACTTTTGGATTCCCTGTGGAAAGAAGCGAGAGGAAACTGAGCACTAGTTTAGATCGGCCATTTTTGTTTTGATGAGAGAAGATTGCGAGATTTGTCGAATTTATGAAGATATATCGTTATAAAAATAGACGGATTTCATTGTAATACCCACACTAGAGTAATCAAGTGCTATWAACTAAAGAAAGAMGGYTTACTATTGCCAACTGGAATCGTGAATGCTGTTGCTATGTTGTTGTGATCGTTGTTGGGGTGGATTTCAATCTTCGATGTTCTGGGAGTATTTGTATGGACATTTTCGTGGAGTATTAATGGACARTCCTCTGAACAATTATTGCTGGAATAATTATTCTCACGGAGAAAAGTTTTGACGAAGAAGAAAATGGTATTTCAAAATTATGCGCAAATRATTATCAAGGAAACCCTTGGTGTATGCTAAATTTTTAAATAACGGTAACAGCAAAACAACTGCCAATCTTTTGAAGACGTGGAACAATATTCAAGCTTTTAACAACAGGTTCAAGTAAACTTGCAGATAGSTTTAYAATCATAATTACTRGATTACCATGAAGGGAGTTCTTCAACCTGATTTTGCTGTTACTGGAAATTCAAGTTCAAGACATGAACGACCAGGAAGTGGATCCAGGCGACCCCAGAGACGTCATCAGGACCCAGGAACACTAGGCAATAGCAAGGCTAACATATTTGGGACATCGGAACCCCCCAAACAATCCCATAGTTCACCTGTAGTCTCTAATACTGAAAGTGGTAGTAGTACATATTATTATAATACGCCTGAAGCACCTCGGGATGAGTTGAAGGAGAAGGCTTTAAAAGAAAAAGAACTAAGAGTTAGTATTGCTTGAGAATTTGGTTACTAAATATAAGGAGCTATTGTGATTGTTGCATTTAAATGTAATAAATTAAAATGTACTAACATTAAATTCTCGATATAWTTCAAATTACTCTCTTGCATAGATGATTATTTAGCTTCTCGCAATTGTACAATCTCCATTTGATAATTACCAATTGCTKTACTTTATGGCAACCTTTATTTAGATAGCTGTATATGTATGTATTCACYGGAAATCACTTGAGTTATATCATGTATTTTTTGTGTTGTAGAATAGAGAGTACTGGGACCAACCTATGGACGTGACAGTTCATCAAAGCCCCAAAGGAAAGGGAAGACGATCGGCACCTCAAGGGTATTTCAGTTTGTCTCAGCATTGTAATAATAAATACTGTAGTATGTATTATTCATAACCTACAAATARATTATATTTTTGTTAGTACCTTTATAGTTGATTGTTTGGCATCAATTTGTTTATTTTGTTGTGTTCTAGTGTTCCTCAACTAAATCTTGGTAACCTAGAGGATGGTACCAACAAGGTACAGTATTGTGATAAGTTGATCTTCTCATCATTTTTCCACATGCACAAACCTCTCTACTGGAGTAAATCTCTTGTAACTCTTTCCTCATTTTCACTTTCATAGCAAAAATCAGCCTAGTTTGAATTCAATGTCGTTTTTAGTTCATAAATATATATTACTAACTTTAATAAATACCTTCTTTAGCTTGTTCATCGTATTGATCCAGAACCTCATTTACATACACCAGATAGTGCAAGAAGTGATGTGAGGTAAGACAGGGATGTTACATATCCTATCATGTTGTTTTTTTGCTGTCATTCTTGTGCTTGTGGGGTGCTCAGCTTATTGACATGTGCAGATCTTTGATCATTGATATTCATGCATGCAGCATTTGCAACATTATTGACAAACTTCCTCTGTCCCCCATCTGTAACTTTATCATCCTCTGTGCTGCTCAGAAAATTGTGGTTCTTCTCTTTTCACTGTGTTTATATGATTGTTTCRCATTGTTTTAAGCTGGGGAACACCATTGCATAGTTCTAGACAAGTTGCTGTGGGTAAAAATCAAAAGCCACGTGAACCACGATTCAAGGTACAGTAAAAAATTCAATCAGTCAGTTTGGTAAATGAATGACAAAGCTGCAGGGCTTGTTGTACAAATTATGAGTATCACTTTCCACTAGATATATTATTAATTAATTTTTATCCAGCRGGAAATATCCATACATTCATATATCCTAACTTTATCCACCCACTGTACAACCAGCCCTGGTGTAGATCTTATTAGATATTCAGACATCCAATTTATCCTCAGTAATTCATTCACTAATTTATTAATGATTTATTGATGATAATGATTAACATCTAGATAATATTTTAGGATGAACAAGAAAGGAATCCCAGCATACAATCACCATTATCCAAGAGGCCAGATGGCATGCCTGCACTTGACTTACAGTCATCTCAAGATGATGAACATGCATTTAGGGTAACTGGAAAATATGCATGTATTTTACAAATAATTATCAGTTATATTTACATTATATTTAAAACATTACAGGCTGCAAGAGATTTTAACCCAAAGCAAGTGCCAAGGTGAGATACCTTGTTAACATAATCATTRATAGTTATTAGAGGTTTATTTAGTTAATTTAATCTTGTTTCAGTGACCCATTCAGTGGTAAACATGGCAGGCCTTGGAGTACTGACCCTAAGAGTGAACATCAATACATGAAACAAAGAGCAAGAGCAGAACAAGTAAGTAGTTTCCACAAGTGCTGCWGTCAACTTGTTCAAACATTAAACTGTATATTCTTGTCCATCCATATTTGCTTGGACCTCCTTTTCCTTTTCATCCATCCATTCTCCCATTTAATTATTTTTTCATTCATCCATTCATTCATCCATCTGTTAATGTGTTTACTTTGATAGGAACAGTTGTACTCGGATAAGAAAAAGGATTACATTGTAGAAACAGTTATGGTAGATCAACTATCCAGGTAAAAAGGTCATCATGAATATTTCAATTCGTTGGCTCAGTAACGATTAAGAAATGAGCCTTTCAAAGTATAATTAATTTTAAGTGTTGTGATCATTATTTGATATTAGACTGTGTACTTCCCCTTCCTGTGTAGGTGGAATTTGAAATATCCCAAACTTTTCCCATATGGGAGAGGGTTGGGAATCGCTATTGATATGTAGTGTCTTTTTCAATCTTTGTCAATAGAGCAGCAATATCCGATCCTGAAGCAGTAGGGCCTGAGAACTACTCTATCAACCTTGGAGCAAGAGACAGAAAAAATAAAGAATTCTATAATACAAGGTACAGTACTTTCACTACAAGATAAAAGTATATTAGATAAATTATAAAAATAGAGGTTTCCTTGAAAAAATCTTCCCTGCTAATACTCAATTTTGAGCAGATCATTAAATATAACATATTTTAGAATGAAATGCTTCAAGTTTTTTATCTTTAAAAACCCTTTATAACTTTTTTCTAATTGTTTTGATTATTGTTGATGCAGAGCTGTTCAATCRCCGGGCAAGTCAGAGAATCTTCTTGCTAAGAGAGTAAGGTTTGGAGCAAGACTTGTGACCAAGAATGGACATGACATTCACAGAGAACTCAACGGTTTCTATTTTCTTGCCGATAACACTTTAACTGTTTATGAATTCAGRCAGTTTGGCACAAGGTTTGTGATGRCTAACATAYGTTAGTATAGTCCAGTCCCAGCCCCTTTTCAACMCGCTCGGTTAATGGTCCTTGTTAACCGAGCRGGTCGAAAAGGGGCTGGGACTGGACTAACGTTAGTAGGGAAATGGATGGAARTATGATAAATGAGACATATTATTTCATGCTGTAGGTCTTCAGCTTTGCCATTCATACTAAGAGGTTGTTACAGTCATGTGTATGGGCAGAGAAAGGGACAACTGTATTCATTAAAAGATATTAGCATAGTAAGTATTTAATATATTTAACTCTGGCATGATTACTATTGTATTTTGAAATAAGTACCTGGTCGGAGCACTTTGTATGTGTATTTAACTAATGTCACCRCTGTCATTTAGGGCCAAAGTATTTCATTTGTGACAGCCAATCAGAATACATTGCCTCAGAGTGTCAGTATGAAGCCAGTCGTTACTCTAAGAATCACTGATGTTGATGAAGAAGCAAAGGAAAGGTTACTGTAAGTAAAGATTCTTATTAAAATGTTTTATCACAATTTTCTGGTGGTTTAAATTACAGCCTATTTCTTGTCCTTTGTAGCTATGATGGATGCCATTCTGCTCAGCAAAGAAGAATGGTCAATGATAAACTCGCTGCACCTCCAACAGAACAAGAACTAAAAGAGAGGCAAATGATTGAAAGTATTCAAGGTACACTTCATTTGATTACCTCTTGATTTTTCTTTGTTCTTCATTTCCCAGTTCATCCAGGCATCCTTTCATTCATTCATTCCTATATCCATCCATTTTTCCAACTTTAATCTTAATTATATGTTTATAACTTGCTCTTTTCATCCACCGATCCATTCACTCAACTTCCATTTCTTCATTTATTAGGAGAAGTAAGAAAACAGCTTAGGAACAGRGCGGTCAAGACWATGATGGGATTAGGACGACATTTTAAGCAGTTGGATAAATCAGGTGAYGGGATGCTGGATAAAGATGAACTTATGGCAGCTTTACAAAGATATCACCTACAGGTTCCACAACAGGTTTGTCTGCCCATTCAAACTTCCACAGTTTTCACAGCCATATCCTTGTGCAGTCGTAAATGGTGCTCAGTGCTACAATCATAGATAAAATGCTATGGGATAAAAGTAAACATCTTTTGTTTTTACAAATGCAAGAAAAATATATGCCCTCACTTTCTCTGCTGCTCTCACATGGCCTGCTACTCTGCTGATACTACAGCTATATTTTACTATTTTCAGGCTTTTGAGGAATTATGGAGACTGCTGGATGTAAATAGGGATGGTGCRTTAGACTATGGTGAATTTGTTCGAGGATTCATTGGTGAGATGAATGAATCTAGAAAAGCATAYGTTAGAAAGGTAAAACTAGTATTTCTTGATATCATTGATTCTATTTGACTTAATACAGTGTAAGATTAAGTGATATTCTGATATTTTTAAGGTGTTTCATAAACTTGATCCAAGTAAAACTGGTGTAGTTGAACTAAACAACATCAAAAAGTTTTTCTCAGCACATAAACATCCTAGAGTCTTATCAGGTATGAACTAACACTTTATAACATGTTGGATATCTCTCTTTTTATTTCATTTCCCTTCCCTCTATTCTTTTTCCATTCCTTTCTTTCCTTCATCACTTTTATCCCAATGTCTATTGTCATTCCACCCTCTCATTTATCCCTTCCTCTTAATATCTCCTACCATTCTATATTCCTTTCTTCCTACATCTTTCCTGTTCTTATTATTCCGTTGTTCATCTTCCTGTTCAACCCCTCCTTCCTTCATTTCATTCCAATGACTTATTGTATTCATTGTTTTGTCCCTAAATACTTGTTCATTTTATTTCCCTCTCTTTCTTCTATGTATCAGTACTTCCCATTTTGTTCCATTCATGTTTTCTGTTTTCAAGGTGAAATGAGAGATAAAGAGGTTGMCTCTGCTTTCTTGAGCTCCTTTGATAATTGTGAAAACAAAGGGGAAGTTACTTATGGGGTAAGTTGTAATAAAGTATTTGAGACTGTTCAATCCAGTGTTTCTTATGGCTGTCCTTATTGTTTGTAGGAGTTTGAGGACTACTATGAAGGTGTTAGTATTGCTATTGACAGTGATCAAGAATTCATTGCTATGATGAAGAACTGCTGGGGATGTTAGCAAGGTCATGGTGCTGTAATAGACTCTCGGACCCTYAACATAGTTGAGTGAGTTTGGTTGAAGTACTGTGTGTTTTGATATTAGCAATCTCATCAAAACATCTATTAGAATCAGAGTAGTTCACCATAGCAAGCAAGCAATAATTGCTACCCTGGCTGGGGGAGTGTTCAAAGCCCGATTAGTTGTAATCCGGGGTTAATTCCATAGGTTTTGTAAGAGTTAACCCAGGATTAGCAGTAATCAAACTTTGAACCATGATATAATAGTTACRCCATAGTTAGAAGAATTATTTATATTTTCACAGTATTTAAAACACCTTATTAATATTATTACAAGACTAAGTGTTCACTAACTATAGCTAAAGTTTGACAGCAAAGAATAATTACAGAACAGGTTTGAAGGATGTTATTAATCAAAACAATTACAAGAAAAGGAAGTAAAAAAGCTAATATTTACACTAGTACAGTAGGATCCTGTCTCCAATAACTAAGTGTCAAACTGTTTTAAAATAAGAAGATCATATCTTTGTTTGGYTGTTTTTTGTTTGAAAAAAAATCCTACAAGGATTTTATGATTGCAATTGCCTGTTAATTAAGTAGAGACAGGATCACATTACTGTACATTGTCAAGACTTTTAAGTACCATTGTCGACAGATGCCAATCAACACTGCATATTATAATACTATTTTAGCAATATTTTATATGCAATTTCTTTTTTTTGCACAGAGTCTAGACATTTCTTTTCTATTAATGGTTATTGGTCATGATAATCTAAMAATCCATTGGTTTCTCTCTGTTTGAACTTGTAAAATTTAATAATTATAATCTATATTTTAGTTGTTATCTGATAAAACTGTTCTTTCTTTAATTAACATTAAAAATAGATAATGGATGGGTCTACCATTAGAAAAGGGATTATAATGGAAATTGATTTTTTTGCATCTAAGAGTAAATCTGGGCTGCCAAGTATATTTGTACAATGTATGTGTGGTTGTGGCATGAAGGAATTGTTCTGTTTTACCCCTCCCTCCATCTTTTTTCTCATGGTTGATCCATAATGTAGTCAAATAATAGTGCGAACCCTCGCCAATTTTACAGGTGGAATTATTGCTTCAAAGAAATTAATTAATGACTTTGTTAGTGACCTAAAAGGAGTTTAGCATCACCAAGCCAAATTGASTATTGGTTTTACTTCAAAAACATTGTTTCTTTTAGAGAATGTGAACTATTTGATCTAAAATATACATGATTTTTGAGTGTTTTCTTGTTTTCAGCCACTCAAGTGAAGTGATCCATAAACATTAAAAAGAAAACATATTTTAAACTAGAAAGCCATTCTAGTGCATTTCTTTTCTTGTGAAGGATTTTTGTCTACAAAATATGTAAATTTTTAATACGAAACTGACACCATTTGAACAGATTCTTGAACATTTTTGACATTTCTCTTCTTCGTCCACCAAATTCTTTTGTTTTAATCGAGAGTTTTTATTGTGTTTTCATTTCAATTAAGATACCGTGACCTACATTCAATTAAATTCGAATTTCGAATACATTTCACTTCCTTCTAGCGCTGTTTTAACCATATAAACCTTGCATTTTTGTTGTAAAAGGGCCATATTTAGTTAATTACTAATAAATAGATTTAAATTCAAGTAAATTGGAATTGTGAAGAAGACGTGGTAGGTGACTAGATGATGTTAAACATAAATACCATCTTTTGGAATAAAATCTTTTGTGTAGCAGACGCCATCTGTCAGTCTGTTTCGATGTCTATAATAATTTTTTTATCTGTCATGTATCTCAAGCTATCAGACATTTACTTCAGGGTACGACCCTTGTCCCGTTAACTTCGAGTGTTCTCTTGGACTTCGCACTATCACGGATTTTCCTTTATGTTCAATCAGTAATCGAGGTAGTTCACCATTTGRCCGCTTTTCGAACGAGAACCTCACGTACGAACCACTTAACTTAGCGGCCGGTTTACTCTGAATTGCCTGCCAATATTTAATACATTTAGCTTGACTTACGGCGGTAAAACTCTGTGGTAATCCAGCTATAGGTATAATTGATTCAATCCATGTATTAATTTTTGCAGTGCCAGTTTCTTTATCGAATTGAATSGGGTCCAATTCCAACAAATCACCGATCAATTTTTCGTAGTCAACGTCGCTATCGGCCGTATACCGGGCATATCTAGGCGGCGTTGATCCATTTTCACATCGACAACAGAAGCAGTTGGTCCAACATGAACARTAAAAACAGCTACTCAATTGTCCCATAATGCGATCTCTGAACAAATCTTAAAGTGCAGGAATCTGTTTCTTTGAATCGCGTCGAGTTSTAGCTACGGTAAGATGTCAGCGGTGTGGCATCGCGGGCTCAAATCAAGGAAGCAGGGGACCACAGGAAACCCGCACAAACAAAGAGTGCACGCCAAA